CCCCCCCCCAGCAAGGTGGCTCCTGTTATCTGTTTTTTGTATGATCAGACTGTTCACAATTGCAAAACTTATTTGTAAGAAAAATGTGTAGGATACCCCTATTCTTACTGCAAAATTCATGATGCCATTCCTCCTGCTAAGGGACAGGCAATTGAGAGAGAATGGAACGGCCCTAAATTTTATAAGACATCTACAGGATATTCCCTAGTGGTTTGGGACCCGTGGACTCACAATGGACTAGTCCAGTAGAAGGAGCCATGTATACGGCCCGAACTGCCACATGGCCTAGCTCCAGACTTTACATTTGGCGCTCTTATGTACAAGTACAATTTACGGTCCATCATGATATCCTTACACAAGAAAAAAATTTAATGACACAAATATCATCCCCCTCTTCTCCATTTTCTTGGCTTTCCCTCCTCCGAGAAGGCCTTATGTTTGCCAGTGTTACTGGCATTGGGAATCTCTCATCATGCTTCCTATGTGCAGCCTTGGGACGTCCTCCCCTGATAGCAGTACCCCTGCCTCAGATCCTTAATCACACCACCACTGATAATTCCCATGGCTTCTGCCCCATCCCTGAAGTACCCTTGTTTCTTGACCCAGGCCGCTCCAAGTTTGATTTTTGCTTTTCTAGTGTTCCCCTTCCCTTTTGCAACCAGACCGTATTACCCAATCATCCTTTTGCTCCCCCTGGATTTTTCTTTTGGTGCAATGACACTCTATCGAAAATTTTGACCATCCCTATCCCACAGGACATGCTCTGCCTACCTGTCACTCTGGTCCCACAACTTATGCTCAGGATCCCTGCGGAGTTCTTGGGATGGGACTTGCCCCAGCCCAAGCCAAAAAAAAAAAAAAATGCTGTCTTCTTGCCCCTTGTGGCCAGAATTTCCCTCACCACCTCGCTGGTCTCTGCAGGCTTGGCGGGAGGAGTTCTGGGTCATTCCCTCATAACAACAGCTCACCTATCCAAGCAACTTCAGGTAGAAATCGAGGCTTCTGCAGCATCCTTATCCTCCCTCCAGAGGCAGTTAACCTCTCTTGCACAGGTTGCCCTACAAAACCGACGGGCCTTGGACCTGCTGACAGCAGAGAAGGGTGGGACATGCCTTTTTCTGAGGGAAAAATGTTGTTATTATATTAATGAGTCTAGAATGGTAGAAACCCAGATAAATAAGCTACATAAACTTAGCCTAGAGCTACATAAGCAGCAATTCTCTGCCACAGCAGATGATTGGTGGAAATCATCCATGTTCTCCCTTTTGATGCCTCTTGCAGGACCGTTAGTCAGCATCTTGTTATTTGTAACTTTGGGTCCTTTTATAATTGGCAGGCTAATCCGATTCTTCAAAAAACAAATAGACTCCCTGGCATCAAAACCTATACGGATTTATTACCATTGGCTGGAAATGTTGGGTCGAGGATGTGATCCCTATGATATTTCTCAGTCCTCTTCTCCTTTAGGAGCAGCATAAAGTCTGAACCTATGCTTATTGGCATCAGCCGGTATGGACACCGCTGGGTGCAAGGCCAAGCACTGCAGGGGAAGGCTGATTTAATAGCCCTTGGTTCGGATTCCCTGAGAGACAAACCTGACTTGCATAGAGGTTGGTATATAGAGGCACCAAAAATGCCTAAGCCCTCTCCTCCCCAAAAGGTACACTTTTCCTCAAGCCTGCAGCGGCTCTAGGAGGAGTCAGGTCAATGTCTCCCCCAGCTGGTTAAGGTCCACCACCATTCAGGTGGGCACACTCCCTCATAAAATAAAATAAAATAAAATAAAATAAAATAAAATAAAATAAAATAAAATAATAAAATAAAAAGGGAGGAGATGCCGAGGACAATTTCAAGAACCATGCCATATTGCCTGCCTCAGTTAAGTTTCTGTTGTCCAGTATTGAGCCACTAACCAGAAACTTTTGACGTGCCTGGACAAGTTCTGAGTTATTAGAAAATAACTTAACATTTCCTTATCTTTCTGCTACAGTGACCACTAGTAACAAAGTTTTGTGGTTAGGTTGCTTGGTTGGGTTGCTTGGCAACTCAACAGTCCCCTGATCTTTTCCCAAAGAAAGTTTCCTGGTCTGCTTGCTATAAAACCCACCTGAGAAAATAAAATTTTGCAGCTTGATCAGAATACTGTCTTGCTGTCAATTCTTTGTGTCTCTAGTCCCTTTCATTCGCCATTCTGCCTTCTAGGGTCTCTGCTGAAGATCCCGCTGGCCGGGACTACACACTCCAAGAGGACATGGGCTTTCCTGGAGAAGGGAGGATGGCTAGTGTTGTATTCCCTGCCTTGCATAACTGTTCCCTTCTAGAACTCGGTGAGCTTCATGTCACAGTTAAGTGTCTTGGACCCTGTAGGGAACAGAACCAGCTTGGGCTTGTGGAGGAAGCACTGACTGTTTCTCTTTACGATGATTTCTGAATTGAACGCTGCAAATCTGGCTGGTACAGAGATGTGCTGGAGAGAATGGTCTTTGATGGTGGCTTTTAGCTACAATTAATAAACAGCTTGAAAGACCCCCACTCCATTATGAGGACACGGGGCGTTGGGCCGATGAAATGCCCCCCCCCCCCCCCCCC